CGCGCGCGACGACGCCGGACGACGACGCGTCGACGGACGGCGCCGGGCGCGCGCGCGCGCGAGGTCTCGACCCGCGCTCGATCGTCCCTCGCGCGCGGGCGACGGGCGCGCGCGCGGGGACGACGCCGAGGTGGGTGCCGGGCGACGCGCGGGAAAATTCGTCGAACGATCGACCGCGTCGACGGACGGTGACGAGAGACGTCGAGGCGCGGACGACGCGCGTTGGGACGGCGTGAGCATCGACGGGGAGACGCGGGACCGCGGAGGGGGAAGGGACGGCGCGCGCGCGGGGTGATCGAGGGGGATGGCGCTCGGGAGGAGCTGCGCGCGCGGCGTCGCGGGGACGTCGGCGCGGAGGACGACGAGGGGGAAGACGGGACGGGTGAAGCGAACGCGGGTGGGTGTTGGACGATGGTGCGTCGGTGAGAGAGGTGAGAGGGCGTGGTCGGGGGATTCGGGCGCGCGAGGAGGGGGAATGCGCGGGCGAGCCGTTGGCGGCGTGGACCTCGACGCGTACGAGCCCAAGTACGTGCGCGAACCCGTGCCGGTGTATGTGATGCTTCCGCTGAACGTCGTGACGAATGAGGGTGAGGTGGATGATCGAGCGGGGCTAGAGCGCGGTCTTCGAGCGCTGAGCGAAATCGGCGTCGAGGGCGTTATGATCGACGTGTGGTGGGGCATCGTCGAACGCAACGGACCCAAGAAGTACGATTGGGCGGCGTATCGCGAGATCATCGACATGATCAAAGCGGAGGGGTTGAAGGTTCAAGCGGTGATGTCGTTCCACGCTTGCGGAGCGAACGTCGGTGACGTGGTTGAGATCCCTCTTCCGGACTGGGTGCTCGAAGCCGGCGAGAAGGATGCGGACTTGTTTTTCACCGATCAGTACGGCTATCGTAACCCGGAGTGCATCTCGCTCTGGGCCGATAACGCTCTGACTTTGGCCGGACGAACACCCATGAACACGTACAAAGACTTTATGGTCAGCTTCAAAAAGACGTTCAAGGAAGAACTCGGGACAACTTTAACCGAAGTCGCCGTTGGGTGCGGACCGTGCGGAGAGCTGAGATACCCAGCGTATCCGGAGAACAAATTCGCTCAAAAGGCGTCGCAGTGGCGATTTCCCGGCATCGGGGAGTTCCAATGTTACGATCAACGAGCGCTCGTGTCACTCGCTCGTGCGGCTTCGGAAGCCGGACACATCGAGTGGGGCGGATCGGGTCCGCACGACACAGGCGGTTACAACAATCTACCGTACGAGACCGGGTTCTTTAGGTATGACGGAGGGAGTTGGGACTCGGATTACGGTCATTTCTTCTTGGAATGGTATTCACAAGAGCTCGTCAACCATGGCGACCGAATGCTCGAGATGACGAAAAAAGTTTTCAAGAACAAAGGAGTCACGCTCGCTATCAAGTGTGCGGGAGTGCACTGGTGGTATAACACCCGCTCGCACGCCGCTGAACTTACTGCGGGATATTTTAACACTCGCGCAGGGAACATGACGCCCGAGCGGGATGGATACGCGCCAATCGTTCGCGTTTGCCAGAAACATGGCGCTCGCCTGAACTTCACGTGCGTCGAGATGTACGATAGCGATCATCCATGGTATTGCTATTGTGGACCCGAGGGGCTCTTGCGCCAGATACGATCCGCTTGTGCGCGCTTTGAGGTGCCGTTTGCGGGAGAAAACGCACTTTGCCGTTTCGATCAGGTAGCCTTCGACAAAATCATCAAGAACTGCGCGGGTGAGGGTAACGACGAGGAAATGTGGCGAGAGGGGACAATACTCCCACCGATGGCGTGTTTTACGTTCTTACGATTCAACTCCGAACTCTTCTCTCCCGGCGCTTTTGAGTCATTTAGAATCTTTGTCCAGCGCATGCGCGACGAAACCGGCTTACTGGACACTTCCGTGCCCGGTGAGGGAGGTAAGTCGTCGGCCGGCGAACACATCTCGTCTGAGTCGCGCGTACAGCTCGGGCTGTAAATTTTGCGAACTATGCATTATGTACCAAACTTCAATACGTGGGAGCAAAAGAATCGCTCGCGTATCTTGTAATTTCATCACTGATTGGTTTCTAGACTTTTGACGATTACAAATAACGACCGAGAACGAAGGCAAAGATTGCCGTGAGCAAAATGTGAAGTAGCGTGAAACCCTTTTGAATCTTACCACCCCGCTTCATCATCAAGTTCAAGTCATTGGTCAAAGCCTTGTTTCGCGCGGACAGAAGCGCCACGTCGCGCGTGAGACGCGCTTGCGCTTGCTCCGCGGTTTCGTTCGCCGGAGGCGCGGGCAGAGTGACCTCCTCGGCCCCCTTGCCGATCGCAACGTACTTCACTCGAAGCCTAGTCTCGTCGATCTTCGCATCCGATCGCGAAAACAGCTCCGCCACGTCCTTCGAGTCCCCACTCTTGGTGACCTGAACAAGAAATTTATCCTTGCACGCGTTGAAGTCCGCCGGTATCTCGCGATGGGCTTGCATCATCACCATCACTTTGATATCGGCCCCGGGCTCGATGATCCCCGTGTTCGGTTTGACGCAATACTTCTTCGGCGACGTCGTCTTCACCTTGAACGCCATCTTGTCCCCGGTTGGATTCTTCAACGTCATCTCCGAAGAGCACTGCTTCTTAAGCTCGACTGCGCGTTCACGAAACGATCAATATTCTCCGTCAGTCACTCGCCCTCTCCCACGCCCATCGCTCTCCCATCATCGTCCATCGCGTGTTCGACGCGCGCGATCGTCTCGCCGCGCGTCTCTCGAGATCGCGCCTCCGTCCACCCCCCGCGTTCGCCCCTAGCCACCCCTACCCCCTCCATCCCGCGTTCAACCGGTACCGCGGCACACGCGCGTCGTTCACGAACGCACAGTCGAACGGGAGCTCGCCCGAGGGCACAATCACGACGGAATCGTTCGCCATGACGTGCTGGAAGATTTAAACGTCCGAGCCTCTCAGCCGTCTCCCGCGCCGCGTCGCGTTCGCCCACCGTCCGCGCGCGCGCGATCCCGATCGAGCGCGCAGACGCTCGAGTTCGAAGCGCGAGCTCGACCGTCGGTCGCGCTCGACGAGTGACGACGACCGCGAGGGGGGCGCGGAGACCACGACGTGCGCCGAACGCACTCCGCGTGAGTGCGGACTCGTTGAGAGTCATCGGGCGGCGGGCGGCGCGCGAGGACGACGCCGCGAGAAGCGACGCGCGAGGCGAGGGCCGAACGTAAACGGTAGAGCGTAGATCATTATCAATAACTCGAGCGTTCGTCGACGATTGAGGATGAGCGAGTGGGTGAAAGAGCTCGCGAGACGCGACGGAACGCGAGAGCGGAGAACGGAAGGCTTAGGCGCACCACGTTCGGGGGTTCTTGAACGCGTCCAGGGCGTCGGCCTCGCGAGAGCCCGGCGCCGGATTGTGATCGTACTGGAACTCGCAGTAACGCGGGAGAGACATGAGGATGGACTCGATGCGACCACCCGTCTTGAGGCCGAAAGTCGTGCCTCGGTCGTAGACGAGGTTGAACTCGACGTAGCGACCGCGGCGCATTTGCTGCCACGCGCGTTGTTCCGGGGTGAACTCGTCATCTTTGTGCTTGGCGACGAGCGGGACGTACGCCGGAACGACGGCACCCGCCATGTCTGTCGCGAAGGCGAGGAGATCGTCCTTGCTGCGGTCGTTCATGTCGTCGAAGAAGACGCCGCCGACGCCGCGTCGCTCGCCTCGGTGCTTGATCATGAAGTAATCGTCCGCCCATTGCTTGAACTTGGGGTAGAAATCCTTATCATGCTTATCGCACGTGTCCTTGAGCGTTTGGTGGAAGTAAGAGACGTCTTCATCGAAAATGTACGACGGCGTCAAGTCGGTCCCGCCGCCGAACCACCAGGCGCGCGGCGCCCCGGCGGCGCCCTTCGGAGCGTCCGTCTCAAAGTAGCGGTAGTTGAAGTGCACCGTCGGCGCCATCGGGTTGTGCGGGTGCATAACAGAGGAGATACCCGCCGCAAAGAACGGAATCATCTCCTTCGACGCGCCCTCTTCGCCCGTCGCCGCGCGATACGCCTCGGGCGGCATTTGTCCGTACACCACCGACACGTTCACGCCAGCCTTTTCGAACACGTTCCCATCTTGGAGCACTCGAGAGATCCCACCGCCTCCCCCAGGTCTCGTCCACGCGTCCTCATGGAACGGCTTCCCATCCAACTCGGAGATCGCCGCGCAGATCTCATCCTGCGCCGCGCGAATCATCTTCTCAAACCTCGCCCGCATTTGCGTATCGTCCCCCGCCTCCGACGCCCCCTCTCGCAGCAGCGTCGTCGGCGCGCGATCAATCTTCACTTCATCCTCGATCCCTTGCGCCGCCGCGCGCGCGCCCATTCGAATCCCACGCACCGCCGTCGTCCGCGCCACCGCGCGATGGCGCCGCGCTCGAGGTTTATCCGCAACCGTCCATCGCGCGAGCGCTCGCGCGTCGAACGCGCGCGCGTTCGACGTCATCCCGCCCCGCTATCGCTCGAAGAATTCGTCCTCGTTCGTTCACGATATCGCGGTCGACGCGCGCGCGCGTGTGCGGGGTCGTCGTCGACGGCGACGCGATCGCGCGCCGGGGGCGATCGGTCGCCCCCGTCGGACTGTTCGCCCACACAGGACGATCGCGCGCCATCGCGATTGCGTCCAACACCCGATCTCTTGGACAGATGTCTCTCGCATCGACGCGTCGTGAGTCGTGCGTCGTGCGATCGGTCGCCCCCGTCGGACTGTTCGCCCACACAGGACGATCGCGCGCCATCGCGATTGCGTCCAACACCCGATCTCTTGGACAGATGTCTCGCATCGACGCGTCGTGAGTCGCGCCGTGTCCCCGGCGGGGGCGCGGTATCTACGACCGGGTGTTCGTATGCCCCGTGGCGCGGAGTCACGACGCGTCGATGCGAGACATCGTCCCCGATCGCGGATCGCGTCGACGTCCCGATCGATCGCGGATCGCGATGGCGTCGATCGATGTGAAGTACGAGACGACGCGCGTCCGGAGAATGTCCACGTCGGCACCGATTGCGGTCGCGCGCGACGCGGCGCCGACGCCGCGGACGCGCGCGCGCGACGGCGTGGACGACGGCGCGGTGGACGACGGCGGTGGAGCGCGGGACGGTGGACGCGCGTCGGCGGGGGGGACGACGGTCGCGCGGGACGGGATCGGGATCGACGGCGACGCCTCGGCGCGCGCGCGCGGTCGACGCGCGGTTCAACGCGCGGTGGTCGGGCGATGGGGTTCTTCGCGAGACGACGGGAGAAGCGGGCGGCGAAGAAGGCGGGGCGAGGGACGAGCGATGTCGACGGGCGCGAGCGCTCGACGGAGACGAATGGGACGAATGGGACGCGCGGGACGCGCGGGACGAACGGCGCGGGGTCGGGGCTCGACGTCGAACGAGGGCTGGAGGATTGGTTCGACGGGGAATTGCAGATGAATTCAGGGAGTGAATCCCTTCACGCGAGATCTCTGCGACGAAGGTCGGCGGACCTGCACAGACGACTCGAATCTCTCGGCGTCTCGGCGTCGACGAAGGGGCTCGTGAACGAGGCGGTGGAGAACGTGATCGCGGTCGCGGGTGACGCCTATTCCGAGGGTAAAGGCACGTGGGAGCTCGGGGTGTATCGAACGCTTCATCAAAGCGTTCGTCGCCTCCTCGTCGAGCGCGAAGATGGTGCGTCGAACGCGCTACCGAACGCCGACGCAGATATCCTGCAAGCGATCAACAAAGCTGTAACGATGGTTGACGCGTTACTGTTGAAACTGCACGGAAAGACGGAAGCGAGTAAAAACGCGGTTGACCTGCTCGACCCGATTGCCCAGGGATTCGTCACGCAGTTTTTTCAAGAGCAGACGATTCAACCAGTCGTGTTAGCGCGACAGATGGTGCAGGTTTCTCTGGCAATACGACACGACTCGTCACACTTGAGGACGTCGTTGTCTTGGGGTCGACAGAGTTCGCAGAAGAGTGTGCAGTCCAGTATTACGACCGATTCGTCTTACGTGAGTCTACAATGCGAGGGATCCATCACCAGTTGGAGAAACTTTGACGTTCTTGCGTTCGCAAAGTGTTGCAACAATGAGGCAACGATCGGACCGTTAGAGAAGCTTTCGATGGAATTGTTCGAGTATTTTGACTTGTTTAAAACTCTTCCTTTGAAACGTTCATCCGTGAAACGGTTCCTGGCGGACATTGAAGTTTCTTATCGTGATAACGACTATCACAATGGCGTGCACGCAGCAGACGTCACGCAAGCGGCGGCGTATTTCATCGAAACTAGTCTACGAGATCAAATCGAACCGATACATATTTTTGCGTTGCTTCTCTCTGCCGTCGTTCACGATGTAGGTCATCCTGGGTTGAACAATGCGTACCTTGTCGCTCGTCAGACGGATGTAGCTGAGCGTTGGAATAACGTGAGCGTCAATGAGAACGGTCATCTGTACACCGCAAATACTCTGCTCAAGCAGTACGACGTCTTGAAGGATTTCGCCGATGATGATCGAGTGCTGGTGCTAAAGCTGCTGCAAAAGATGGTCCTGTGTACTGACATGGAAGTACACGCCGACCTGGTGAAGAAAGTCATCGAGGCCGTTGAACGAGAATTCGATAAAGAAGCCGGCTTGTTGAAACCAGTGAAAGAGTGGGGAGAAGTTTGGATCCCTCTCGCATTTGCGCTACACTGCGCTGATATAAGTAATCCCGCTCGGCCTTACGATTTAGCTCTTTACTGGGCGAACGCGATAGTTGAAGAGTTCTTCAAGCAAGGTGATCTTCAGCGAGGTTTCCAAATGTCAGTCCCAGGTTTCATGGACCGAAGACTCGCCTCGCCTGCGGGCACGCAGTCGAGTCAGCTTGGGTTCATAAAGGTCATCGTCAAACCATCGCTGGAGTTGTTGGATTCGTACATGCCTCAGGCGGCGGCCGAGTTGTTGAGCCACATTGAGACCAATATCGAGCGCTACGAAGACGACGTGAACAAAGCGCTCATGATGGACACAAGGACAGTGTGAGCGCGATTCTTGGAATAGCACAGCGACTTTGTGAACTACAACGTACATCAACTACAACGCCCATCTAAGCCTTTAAACCCATCTAAGCCTCACCCTGAATCAGTGGTGCGGTTTTATCTTTCCCTGGATGGTTTCGAATTTTGATGTGCCGAGTTTGCTCTGGATCAAACCCAGCTTCCACCGCTCCGTAAGTGGCCCATTTCGGGGTGCGCTCGATGTAATCTGCGGCTGTAAACTTCTCCCCCTTGACCACGAGACGTTGAAATTTATCGTAATTAATCCACGTGTACCACTCGTTATCAATCTTGTACTTATCCGTCCGAGCGAGCAAGATGCAGCACGAGTGAGCGTGCTCGCACGCCAACCCGTACTCTTCCTCTCCGTTTTCCCGTCTCCTCATATTGACGATTGCCTCTCCAAACTTGCAGACATCTTTGTGATAAGGGACGTTTTTCATTGTTAGCGACGATGTGTCGCTGCTTCCACAGAATGTCACTCCCTTGATCTCAATGAAGTCGGGTTGTCCAAGGTCGATGAGCTTGGCGTACTCAGCGATGTCCTCCATGTTGTAACCAGCAACGAGCGTCAAACGATACACGGTCCGCTGCTGCTTCATCTTCAACGACTTGAGTGAGTTCACGAATCGATCCCAATAATCTACAAAAAGTGGTCTGTCGACGGCCTTGAGCGTTTCTGGCGTCGCGGCATCTACTGAAACATATAGCTGAGTGATTGGGGGCAGGTCAACTATCGCCTCGGGGAACTGGGCATTCGTCACGAGAAACGTACTTATCTTCCGAGAATGCAGTTCACTGACAAATTTTGCAATCTCCGGGTACATGATAGGCTCACCGACCAGTGAAAGAGCGCAGTGCTTTGGCTCCATTCCTTCTGCAAGCTTCTCGGGTAAGACTCCCGGGACCCCTTTCATTTGCTTCACCATTTTGCAGTGTTCTGAAATAGCCTGCTCAACGAGCTCCAACGGTTCGTCCATCTTCCATCGCCATGATTTCCCAACTGGATTCGTGTGATGTCGCCAACAAAACGTGCATTTATTTGCACAAGCCAACGATGGTGTGGTCTCCATGCAGCGATGGCTCTCTATTCCGTAGAAGGTGTGCTTATAGCACCCTCCGCGACCCCGAAGCATCGCCTTTGTCCATCGACAGATCTTAACGCCAGAGTGAGAACCAAGAATCTTGTACCCTTGCTTCGTGAGCGCTCCTCTGAGAGCGGGCGTGACCATCTCTTTTGGCTCGCCTCCCTCATTCTCACCGATGTCCTCCATGTCTTGACCGTCCTCGCTCCCTGCAATGCTCAGTGCATCCTCGTCCTGGCTTCCACAACCCCCCTCAACATCATCCGTCGACGTGCTTTCTTCGAATAAACCTCCTTTGGCGACGACATCGCTCGCACGGGACGAAGAAGCGAGTCTTTTAACAACTTTCTCCGCCCAATCCTCAAACTGCGCCTCCATGCGCCCGGTCGCTTCGTCCCCGTCCCGTCGCCGTACCAATCGTTCCGCGCCCATCCGCGCCAGATGTGCGTCGAGTGCACGTCCGACACGATTAAAATCATCCCCATACTCCCTGTTCCCGCAACCAAACACCGCGTAACGTAAATTTTTCAGATACATCCAACCCGCCCGCTCGTCGTACGCCGTCTCGCGCGCCCACCGCGCGAGCCACGCCCCTCGCTTCGGCGCCGCCCCTCCGGTATCCGTGCTCACGACGAACACCACCGTGGTTATTCCACGCTCTCCACCGAGCGTATTCTCCGGATCATCCACGTCACCGCCGTCCATCGTCGTCCACCGCTCGCCCGTGGCTTTCGCCGCGCGCGTCGCGAGCGCGCGCGCGAATCTCTCGCTCGTCCCCCCCGTGGTCATGTACACCACCAGATTCTTCCCCGTCGTCGACGTCGAATCCAACGCCGTCGCCGCTCTTTCTCTCGCCCTCGTCCCCGCGTCGCCCGCCCGTCCCACCGCGTACTCGAGCGTCATCGCGGCGGCGCGCGCACCGAGGACGAATCCGCATCCCAGAACGCTCACTCCCAGCGCGAACGCGAGCGGGCCCTCGAGCGCGGGGCGAGAGGTCGACATCGTCCGCGTCGCCCGATCGACCGTCGCGCGATCGCGCGCGCGGCGCTTTCGAGGGGTCGCGTCGACGCCCGCGCGACGGTCGCGTGCGTGTTTTATACATCATCGGTGGTGTTGCTCTTGTATACGCACCGTGTGTCCGATGTGTATTTATGTGTGTGACCCGCGACCGCGCGGCGGCCCATCGCCGTCATTTCCCGACGACGACCGACGATGCGTCGAGCGAACGACGTGTTCTTCGGCGAGCGCGAGAGCGGGAGGGATGTTCGACAGACGAACGGTGCGAGACGCGAACGCGAACGCGAGGGTGACGGGAACAAGGCTGGGAGATGATGAAGATTGTGACTCGAGTCAACGCGATCGGGCGGACGACTGGTGGCGACGCGACGCGCGGGGCGATGGAGACGACGGATGACTGACGGTGACGATGGATTGGACGCACAGCGACGGCGGTGCAAGCGGTGGCGAACGTGGTGAAGACGTCGCTCGGACCGGTGGGGTTGGACAAGGTGCGGATGAGAGCCGCCGCGCGCGAGCGACGCGTTGACTCGACGAAAAGAAAGCGCGATGGAGGAACGATGAAGCGGAGATTGACGGCTGTTGTGCGCGCGTAGATGTTGGTTGATGATATCGGAGACGTGACCATCACGAATGATGGGGCGACGATCCTGAAGTTGCTCGAGGTGGAGCATCCGGCGGCGAAGATCTTGGTCGAGCTCGCGGAGCTCCAGGACCGCGAGGTCGGAGACGGGACCACGACTGTGGTGATTCTCGCCGCTGAACTTCTGAAGCGAGCGAACGAGTTGGTTCGTAATAAGATTCACCCGACGAACATCATCGCCGGGTACAGGAAAGCGATGCGAGAGAGCGTGAAGTACATCGATGGCGTGTTGGCTCGCCGCGTGGACTCTCTTGGAAAGCAGGCCCTTCTTCAGTGCGCAAAGACGAGCATGAGCTCAAAGATCATCGGCGCTGAGGAAGACTTTTTCTCTAACTTGGTCGTGGAGGCGTGCATGGCGGTCAAGACGTACGACGACATGGGAGACGTGAAGTATCCGATCAGGGCGATCAACATTTTGAAGGCGCACGGGAAGAGCCTCAAGGAGTCAACGGTGCTTCACGGTTACGCGCTGAACCTTGGTCGCGCCGCGGAGGGGATGCCCAAGTTGGTGAAAAATGCTAAAATTGCGTGTATCGATTTCAATTTGCAGAAGACGAAAATGTTGATGGGAATTCAGGTGCTGGTGACGGATCCGAGAGAACTCGAGAAGATTCGGGAACAAGAGTTTGAGATCACCGCCAAGCGCATCCAGATGATTCTGGCAGCCGGTGCGAACGTCGTACTTTGTACCAAGGGTATTGACGATATGGCGCTGAAGTACTTCGTGGAGGCGGGTGCGATTGCGTGCCGACGAGTCAATCGGGACGACCTGCGTCGCGTCGCAAAGGCTACTGGGGCCCAGATGATGCTTTCTCTGTCTGACATGGACGGAGGTGAGACTTTTGATGCGTCCATGCTCGGAACCGCGGGCGAGGTGGTGGAGCAGCGGGTGGCTGATGACGACATGATTGTCATCAAGGAATGTGCGACTACGCAGTCGTGCACGGTCCTCTTGCGGGGTGCGAATGACTACATGTTGGATGAAATTGATCGCTCTGTGCACGATGCCCTGTGCATTGTGAAGCGAACTCTCGAGAGTGGCAACGTCGTTGCCGGCGGTGGGGCTGTCGAGGCCGCGTTGAGTATTTACTTGGAGAATATGGCGACGACACTCGGAAGTCGAGAGCAGCTGGCGATCGCGGAGTTTGCGCAAGCCCTCTTGGTCATCCCCAAGGTGCTCACGGTGAACGCCGCGAAGGATTCGACGGAGCTCGTTGCCAAGCTTCGAGCCATTCATCACGAGGCGCAATCTCAGGAAGGCAAAGAACATCTCAACGGTATGGGCTTGGACCTTGTTCAAGGCGAGGTTCGCGACAACCTCGCGAGCGGTGTGCTCGAACCCTCTTTGAGCAAGGTGAAGAGTATTCAGTTTGCTACCGAAGCAGCTATCACAATTCTTCGAATCGATGATTTGATTCGCCTCGAGCCAGAGCAAGAGGGGTAGATGAGACCGAGACTCCGATCACGTACGACAGTTCGCGCGCATATATAGCTACACTGTCTTTAGTCCTGTAAAGTGCGAGCCGAGTATCAACATTCAAAATCGACGCGACTTCGTACTACGCAGGTTAGTGTTCTTACAACGATGAGACATAACGTAATGTTCAGAATAAAAGTAGGCCCGATGGTGTGATGCATCTGGCAAATAATCGTTTCGCGTGCGTGCTAGCGCGTGTGCGCCAGCCTTGTGTACAGTTTATTTTATCATCTTCGGCCAAGCTCTTCGCGAAGCTTTTGATTTTCCTCCTTCAGCTTTGCGTTCTCCTCCCGGAGCGCCTCCAACTGCGCACCGATGTCAGCAGCCTCCGCTTGCTTTCGTAAACGGCTCCTTCGAGCACTCTCCCGATTCGACTCTTTTCGGCGTATCTTCTTCGTGGTCTCTTCCTCTTTGGTGACGACGTGGTTTCCCTCGAGCCCGGGTGGAAATCCAGGCGCGGGTAGACCGGTGAAGCCCGGAGCCTGGAAGAACCCAGTGGGGCCAAATTGCGGCACACCGATGGGCTGCGGGAGATTCAACAATGGATAAGGTCCCATGATGGACGGTGACGGCGCCTCTGATACCGTCGCGTGTCCCTTTGGCGCGCTCGCCGCCGCCGCCGCCGCCGCGGCTTGCGCCAACGCCACCCCATTCATATATTGTTGCAGGTTCGGCGTCCAACCCATCCCCGACGACGGCACGCTCCAATTCAATCCACTCCCTTCGTGCGTCGGAGCACCCATCGTCTCCTCCTCACCCGTCTCGCGCGCGCCGTCCACCTCCGGAGACCGCGACGGCGACCGCGCGCCCGCGCGCCGGCGCGTCGTCCCGCCATCCGTCCCCACCCCCCCCATCATTCGCCCCACGCGTCCATCGTCATCCCGGGTCCGCGTCGCCGTCATTCACGACCGCGCGCGCGCCCCGGCGCGAGAACGCCCCCCCGAGCGTCGTCCACCGTCGCCACCCCGCGCGTCGCCACCGCGTCCCGCGTCGCGCGATCCCGCACCGCGTCCGCGCCACCGCGTCCGCGCCACCGCGCCCGGTTCCGGCGCGACCGTCGACGTCGTCGACGTCGCCCTTCGCGAGCGCCCGCGCGCGCGCGCGCGCCCACGTCCCGGGCGTCGCCCGACGCCGTCGACCGCGACGCCACGTCGGCGGTGGCGTCGCCGTCGAGGGGGTCCACGACCGGTCGTGACCGGTCGATCGACGCACGATCTCTCGAGATCTCTCGAGATCGCCGAATCGCGCGCGACGCGCGTGGTGTGCACCTTTTCACGAGTCAGCTCTCGAGTCGATGAAGAGGGGAGGGGGGTGATGAAAGTACATGCGCATGTGATGGGTTTTTCGTCGGTCGTGACTCGTGACGGTGTCTGAGACTCGAGCGATACTGTCCAGCCTCGGTGGGTCGTGACTCGGAAAAGACGAGGGACTCGGACCAGACGAATTTTGAGTAATAAGGAACGAAGTGCTTATTACTCAAAAAATAGTAATAGCGATCTCATCCCTATTCCTATTTTTTTAGTAATAGGAATAGGAATAGCAATAAGCTCAGAGGAATAGTCAGTGGTCGTGACTCGGAAAAGACCCTCGTCAAAGGTGTGGGAAACTTATCGTCAACATGAAGGTGTGTCGAGAACTTTTCACGACGCAGCTCTCGCGTCGATGACGATGCGGGCAAAGGTGCCTACTGAAGAGGGAACGACGTGAACGCTGTCGGCACCGAGTGACGCGACGACGACGACGGGCGCGAGGGAGGACGACGACGGGCGCGAGTGAAGCGGACGGACGAGCGACGATGTGTCGACGGGTGCGATGCGAGACGTGTGAGAAACCGACGTGGGCGGGGTGCGGGAACCACATCGAGGAGGCGCTCGCGGGGGTGCCGCGGGACGAGCGATGCGCGTGCCCGCGCGGATCCGTCTTCGGCGCGCTCCCGACGAAGAAGGCGGGGTGAGGGGTGCGTGCGCGCGCGCGGTGAAACGTGATGTAATGTGACAGCGATGTGCGCGCGCGTCGATGCGGCGCTACGCGGCGTGGGGCCAGTGGCGAGACCCTCTGGCGGCGCCGGGGAGATCCGCTTGGCGCTGGCGGAAAGATTCGTACAGCGTGCGGTCGCGACGATCCTTGCTCCACTCGAACTCGTAGTCGCCAACTAATATGCGATCGCCTTCGCCTGCGCCCGCGGCGTCGAGGGCGCGGTCGATGCCGGCCATCTCGAGGACGCGCGCGAAGCGCTTGTACGACTCGTAATAGTCCCAGTTTGTCATTTGCGTGAATCGCTCGATGGCGTCACCCCTGACGATGAAAGCGTAGGGCGTGTCCTCAATCTCGAACTCTTCGATGGACTTACCGTCCGCCGCGCGCTTGCCGGTCTCGGCGACCTCGGCCTCCCACTCGTCCTCGACTGGCGGAAGCGCGCGAAGCGCGGCTTGGACATCTCCCAAGAGCTCTTCGACGCCCTCGCCCGTGACGGCAGAGATGCAGTGCGAAGTGACCCCCTGCGCGTCGAACATCTCTTTCATCTGCAGCGCGCGCTCGGTAGCCTCGACGTCATCGACCTTGTTCAGAGCGACGATCTCCGGCTTGTCGAGAAGAACCGCGTCAAAGAGCTCAAGCTCCGTGCGAATGGCTTCGTACGCCTCGAGACACGTCTCACTGGTACAATCGATGACGTGTACGAGTACTCTGGTACGCTTCGTGTGTCGAAGAAACTCAAATCCCAGACCCACACCCTCGGAGGCCCCCTCAAGAATCCCCGGGATGTCCGCAAAGACCATTCTCTCGTAATCGCGATCCACCACGCCCAGGTTAGGGACGATCGTCGTGAACGGATAGTCCGCAATCTTAGGCTTCGCTGCGCTCACGCTCGCGAGGAGCGTTGACTTTCCTGCGTTTGGTACTCCGATGATGCCGACGTCCGCCACGAGCTTGAGCTCTAACTCGGCCCAGAACTCCTTCCCTTTCTCACCGAGCTCGGCGATCATCGGCGCCTTGTTTTTCGCCGTCTTAAAGGATGCGTTTCCGCGACCGCCTCGACCCCCAACGAGCGCCAGCACGCGCTGACCACCCTTTGTGATTTCACCTATGATCTTCTGAGTGCGACTGTCTCGAATGATCGTTCCTGGAGGGACGAGGATTTCCAAATCTCGACCGTTTCGTCCCGCCATCTTGTCTCCCAGACCACGCTTGCCACCCTCGGCGCGGTGGTGTACCTTTTTCCTAAAAATGTCTAACGAGTTGATATTCTTGTCTCCGACGAAGTAAATACCACCACCGAGGCCACCGTTACCACCTGACGGTCCTCCCTGCGGGACGAACTTTTCTCGTCTGAACGCGACTTGACCGTCGCCCCCGTCTCCAGCCTTGACAAATATTTTTGCAGTGTCGAAACATCGCATCTCTCGAGGTATACCTCTGCTCTTCTCCTCTCGTGGCTCAAATATGTCATCGTCACCAACTTCGATAAACTTTCCGAATCCACCCTCGCTCGGATCCCACACGTCGTCATCGTCGCCTCCGAAGTCGATGAAATCCGCCTCGTCGTCTCCAAACGTCGCCGCGTCCTCCCCCGCCTGCAAACCCTTGAACTCCTTCCGCGCCACCGATCCCGCGTCGTTCACCCACACGGTATCGATCAAATCATCCCGCGCCGTCTCCACCCGCTCCATCGCCGCGAGTTCGGCTCCCATCTCGCTCCGCTGTCGTTCCTTTGAAGCCGCCTCCTCCCGATACGCCGCGAGCGAGCTCGCCCAATCATTCGTCTTCGCGCTCCTCGCCTCGTCGGCGCGCCGCAGGACGTCCGAGAGCGTGTCCGACGGGTCATACGCCATCGACTCGCCGTCCTCGAGCCTGTCGTATCGTCCGTCGCGCCGTCCGAGCGCCGGCGTCGTCGTTCTCGTCGCGACGATTCGCGAGCCGCCGCCGCCGACGCGTCGACGCGCTCGAGACGACGACGCGGCGACGCGCGTGAGAGACGCGGGCGCGGACGATGCGGCGAGGGACGGCATCGACCGCATTTCCGACGCGGTCGCGCGCGCGTGTCGAGCGCGTCGCCAGGGAGCGCGCTCGAGTGGGGGGGTGAGGCGCGCGCGATGAGGACGAGACGCCGGGGATGGGCGGGAGAGAGACGAGGCGGATCCGTGGTGCGCGCGTGAAGGTTGCAATCGGAAAACAAAATGAAGACGACGCGAAGAAATTATTGCTCGGAATTGTGGAGACGACTCCCGGGGGGTGGCTTGATGGTTCGACCGGGAGCGCGCCCGATGGATTTTTTCTTTCCGGAGCCGGATGCGCCGTCGGAGGCGGCGCGGGAGCGGAGTCGGACAGAGAGGAGTTGCGGGGAGTGCGACACCGCCTCGTCCCAGCCGAAGCTCGGAGCGCGTTCCCACCACCCTTGGCTGTCCTCCCACGTGTCCCATCCGTCGGAACCGTCGGTGGTGGAGCCGTATTTATGGACACGACCGTCGTGCCAGTGTTCCTCACCCCACGTCTTCTCAAATTTATGTCCGTCGCGGTCGTCCCACGTGGATCCGTTCCGAGTTCCCGCGCTACCGTTGTGCGCAAAGCTACCCCAGCGCTCTTCCCAGCGTTCGCCCCAGGATCGCCCGCTTCCACCGTCTTCGCTCTTATCCCGATCGGCGTACGAGTCGTTCCATTTCACGCAACCGCCGTGCCCGTCCCACTCCTCGCCCCATTTGTGCGTCCATCGGTTACCGTGACCGTCCTCGGGTGAGATCCCTGACCCTATTGCGCCTTTTTTGGTGCATGTGCGCTTCACTCGACCGTCGCCCCAGTAATTTTCATCCCAGACTTCGTGCCACTCGGTTCCATCCGCCTGGGCACCCCACTTGTTCGCCTCCCGCATGATGTGCTTCGAGGCGTTGGAAAACCCGGTCGTGGTGTCGTGAGTGATGTGCTCGCGCCAACTCTCCTGCCAGACGTTTCCAGACGCGTCGCGACCGGATTTGATCGCTCCGAGCTCGCGATAGTTGAAAGCATCGCTCGTTTCCCACCATTTTTCCTCCCACTCGACAGAGCCATCCGCCGAGGCCCCGCGCACGAGAGTCCATCGGCATAGTCTCCCACCAGCCAGCTCGTCCTCCCCGGATTCTCGCCACCATCGAGACCCATTGTCCAGGACGCCCTCGGTCTCTCCGTCGGTGCCGAGCTCACGCACGGCGGTGGCGGTCTCCTCGAGTTCGGCGGTCGGCGTCGCGCCCAGCGGCGCCGGCTCCAGCTCGACGACGCCGTCGCTTTCAAATTCCAGTTTCAGCTCCTTAGGGGTCTCGATATCGCTTTGGAATTTTAGCTGCAACGACGCCTCGGGGACACGCTCGGCCTCGGCCACGGCGGCGCTCACGCGAGTCTCCGTCTTCCTCTGAAGCTTGGGCGTCGGCCCGTTATCCTCAACTTCCGGCGGACTCCACGTCCAAAAATCGCTCCCAGGATTGAACGCCTCCGCCTCGGGCGCGTCCGAAGTCTTCCCCTCGCTCTTCAACGCGGATTTCTCCCCCGCACCCCCACCGCGTCGCCCGCCGACGCCGGAATCCGTCGTCCCCGTCCCTCCGACGCCGTCCCGCGCCAGCCCATGCGCGCCCGCGTCGTCCCGATTGGGTCCACCTTCGACGCCGCCCCCCATCGCCTCGCCCACCCCTGCCGTCGTCGACGTCCCCGACGCGGTCCCTCGCACCGCCGTCATCGCTCGCACGGCCGCGATCGCGGCCTCCGCGCGCGCCACCGCGCCCACGGGCCCACTCGAGCGCTCGAACAGGTCCACGACCTCGGCGCTTCGCGCGTCGCCCTCGTCCTCCCCCGCCCCCGAACGCGCCGTCGCCGCGCACCGAGCGCTCGCGCGCCATCGTCGTCGTCCGCCGCGACCGCGCGCCGGGGTCGCGAGCGCGCGCGGCGATCGCGCGAGCGCCGTGGTCGACATGACGACGTCTCGCGTCGACGTCTGACGCGACGCACTTCATGCCCGGCCGCGCTCGGCGGCGCGCGCGGGGGCGGCGGCGCGCGGTGGCCGTCGACTCGC